TCTGCTGTCCCACTCTGGACCTCCCCCAGCTATCTCCTGGTGCACAGAAGCGCCAGATCCCAGTGGGACATGCAGGGTACATGATGCTGATGAACATTAAAGGCAGGGGGAAGGGATCTTCCCTGGTATTACCACCTCATCCCCCACCATCACTTTCTTTTTCTTAGCTCTACTTTATTTATCTTCATTGCATTTGTGTCGTCAATCTATTCAACGTTTATTTGTTGCTGTCTGTTTTTCTCCCTAGATTGTTGTCTCCACTGGGCAGGGACTTTATCTATGTTGTAGATAAAGTCTACAGCTCTCAACGCTGTGTGCAGGTGCCTCTAAATATTTATATAAACAATGAATGCCAGCCACTCACTAGCTATTTGACCTTGGGTACATACGGATGGGTACCTCTTGGTTAGCTTTTATCATAGCCTTGCCATGTGCTGGGCATTGTGTATTCGATGAGCTTTGTATATAATTGACTTATTTAAGCCCCACACATTCCTGAGGTAGTTACAATTATTATCCTCCATCATAAGAGAGGAGTGAAATGAAGCCTAGGGAGGAGGGTGATCTGCTTACGGGAGGCAACTGGTGCAGAGCTGGGATATCCTAGGAGAGAATCCAGCTTGACCAGAGCTGGGCTAACTGCTGGGGTACTTGTGCTGTGCGACTGTCTGCTCTTCTCTGCCCCCGGCTCCTGATACTTCCTTGCCTATAAAGCAGGGCTAATCACAGCCCTTCCTTCCTCCCTTTCTCATAGGAGTTCATCTTCCAGGAGGCATGGCATAGGCAGAGTTTGGGTGCTGGGGGCTGAGGGAAGCATTAGCATCTAGCTGCCTCCAAACATACTGAGGCTTCCTCATTGGCCTGGGAATCAACCTCCTCTTCCCTCTCACACACTTCCAAGTTTTGAGTTATCTTCCTGTGAAGTGGGGAGGGGTCCCTCAGGCTCCAGGATGAGGGAGAGGACAGAGGATTGATGAAAGAATATCCATTTCTGGTAACATGGTATCTGTGCCTAACTCTAGCTAAAAACACCAAACGTGCTGGATAGAATTAAACCAATCATTTTCAAAGAATTGAGGGGCTGGTAAGGCAGTAAGGAGCAAGTAGGCCAAAACCTTAAGGGCAGAATCCCAGAGTGAGCGGGTCCCTCGTGCCCTGAGGGCACTAACCAAGCCTTTGAACCTGAGCTGTGGCCTCAATGGTTGGGGAGTGAGGAGATCCCCAGGCCTCACCTGATGAGGGGACACAAGTGGGAGACCCTTCATGATGTTGGGACCCCAAAAAGCTACACACTTATGCTAAAAGCCAGAGGACACCCTTCTCCACCCAAAAGAGGGCTCAAGGAAAGTTGTCTTCATGCTGAACTGAGCAGGGGAGAAGCAGCTCCAGCCCAGGCCAGGCACACAAGTCTGTAGTTCAAGTCTATTCACATCCTGAGGGGTGGAAGGGCAGGAAAACACAAGCTCACACTGCTGAAAGCACCCCTGGGAGGAACACACTTTCCTCCTATGCCTCAAAGACTTCCTGTAATAACTTCCCCTAAGTAAGCAAGCAGCTCATAGCCAAAGTAACCTGTAGGTCAGCCACATAGGGCATCTCATCAGCCTCCAGTCTTCTCATCTGTGAACACTCAGCTAGATGCTCTCCAAGTCACCCCCATAAGGATTCGCTGGGATACAACCCAAGCAATGCAAGTGCATCCCTGTTGTGAATGCTAGGTGCCTGTTCAGAGTGAAGACTTGGGGGATGGATGCGATGGGTTAGCCCCAGTCCTGTCCTCACACAATGCGGGAAGGACAGGGCAGGAGGCTGTCCCCACTTCGGGGGCATCGGGGTGGGGGGAAATGGGGAATGGTGTCTGAGGCTCAGACTGGGCCTTTGAAGTGTGCCATACATGGGCAGGTGGTGCATGTAGCAGGGGCTCTGGGAGGGAGGAGGCAGGGGTGCCCTGGGCGTCCTCAGCAGAGTTTGACCTACTTGGCACCTATAATTGCTCCCTTCCTTGGTTGGGAGGGTACAAATAGGCAGCACCATCTCTAGGCCCTCACAGTGGAGATGCCAGCACCAGAGGTGAGTGCCAGCTGCCCAGGTCTAGCCCTGAGTTGGGCATGAGGACAGCTCAGCCTCTCTCCTGACCAAGGGTCTGGTGTAGGGGGAGAGAGATGACCATAGCAGGGACTGTTGGGGTGAAAGGAGTCAGAAGAGCAGACTTAGTGGTTCTCTTGCATGATGAGGGGCTGTGGGGAAGTTTGGGCCAGGAGGTGTGAGAGCTGAGGTCCAGTGTCACCCCTGTTAGCTCCCTCTTCCTCCTTGCTCCATTCCTGAGGGTGGGTTGATACTGGCCAGGGCTAAACGGGGAAGAGAGGACTCCACCAGCCTCTAGGCACTGTGCTTCCAAGACAGCAGCAGTGATGGTGCCAGGCAGGCTGGCAGGGGCCCATGAGGGCATGCTGCACACCTCTGAGGCTCCTCATCCCCTGGAGCCATGGCCCTCATTTCTCCTGGGAACCTAGGCAGTTGCTCCAATCCTGGGCTGTCACAGGAATTATACCCCAGGCAGTGCTTGGCACCCCAGCTCCTGTTCCCTGCAAGCCACAGCCATGCCAGCCATTCACTCTGGGCAGCAGTTCCAGCAGAGGGGAATCTTTTTTTTTTTTTTAATTGAATGGTAACTATGTACATTAATGCACTTCTGGGGTACAGTGTGGGGTTTTCACATGCAATCCGAAATACTTCCATCAAACTGGTCAACACAGCCTTCATGTCATTTTCTCAGTTATTGTTTTAAAACGTTCACATTCTACTCTTAGAAAGATTCACT